TAACTATTTTCGCTTATCATTATCATTATTATATACATGTATATATATTTATACCTAACTAATACACTATAAAACTAATAACTAACCTCTTTGTTATGAAATATTATTTTCAGAAACAAATAAAGATTGATTGATTGATTGATATTCCCATGATATCAGATTTTTTCAAAAATTGAACAAAATACGAGAAAAAATCAAGTACACCACTTTAATAGTATATTATGTAACAAGTGTTATAAACGTCCTTTTAGTAACGAGTATTTTAAGCACGAGCGGAGCAGAGCGGAGCGAGTGTTTAATAAACGAGTGTCTAGAAGAGTTTATAAACGCGTTACATACTATGCTTTTTCTACGAACTCCGAAAATTACATTAACATACCTGCTATTCCTGCTAATCTACAAAATAGTTCGAAAGGAATGGGAATGGAGAACATAATACATGCAACTGCATGCAACCAGCGAGACACGTATAAGTGATATTGGTTGTAGATGTGTTCAGTCCATTGCTAACTAACATATATTTTAATGTAGACTTCTGATACAAACGAATATTGTTTGAATATCTCAGTTTGAATAATTCTGATACAAAATTCGAAAATAACAGTTGACAGTTAATACAATTGACAGGCCAGACATGTCTCAAATTACTGAAGCTGTGTTTAATGAACTGCGTTGTCATGGTAATGTGTTTAAGAAATCGTGTTGCCATGGAAACGTGTTTAATATTCAGACTAAATCATAGATCGACAATCCGTGATTAATCGATCATTTAGCGTGGTACATATCCGTGCGCTAAACGCCATTTTAGTTATGTGAGTAGAAAAAACAATTTAAATGATTGAACTCCGCGTGATTGTGCCTATACCGCATGGAAATTTGGACAGAGGTGACGTCAGATTTGCTACAGTGTAGAACTTTGGGTGGAAAAAGGGGCCTAACCTCAAATATTATTTTGATCCCAAATTTGTTTTTATAAGTGCCATACGATGGTACGCGTCGAGCTTCCTCAGTGTTTGAAATATTTGCACTTATTTCAATGCCACCCTGTATAGGACATGATTGCATAGATAGGGACAACAACTATTCCTTCATCTCTGATCAATGAATTTTCATTCAGGATGTTCAGAACATACTTGTATACTTTTTCATACTGAAATATATACAGGGTCTTTCAACGGAAACTTGACCCCTCCCTATAACTAGATATCCAAATCCTCGACATTGACGGTGAAACAACTTTCATTCGGGGAGGGCTGGTCATCGACTTTGTTACGTGAATTAAATCAAAAATGCAAAGATAATTTTTCTGCAGCACTCATAAACTATTGATATTTTATCTATTGTAATATCCTAAAAATGAGTATCATTTTCGCTTCTTTGGAGTTTATATTATACATATAATAATAGATTCAGTTAAAGAAAAATTTATATTTTCAGCTGAGGTAAGAGAACAAGTCTTAAAACTTCTGAAAATAAGAATAGTGAACAAAATATCAAAAATTATAATGCCAGTTTTCTCTTTTCCTTTGCGAATATGTCCAAAATATCTTTTGGGTCAACTGAATCTCTCTTGTTCCATTTGGGAGCGTAACCAGGTCTTTATTCGTCTAATCGCAGAGAAACTCCGTTCACAGCCCGCAGAGTTAGATGATATTGAAATAGCTACTTGCAATAACTTGAACAAGTTGGGTTGAACAGAGTTGATAACAATTTTTCTCATAGTTTTCAATTCTTTATCTGGTTCATTTCCAATCATATGTTTAGTAATCTTCATTTCTGCTTCGAGAAGCCCTAAATCTATTTCGAATAGATGTACGTGTATAAATGCCTCACCGCCTTCATCTACGAGATTTATGAAGCTGTCAATACTCCTAATCCTAATCCCTATATATTCCTTTGAAGTGGGTTATAACTGAATCCATAACAGTGACCCTCCAATGTTCTTCTATATTCGCTCCTATTATTTGTTCTGACTGTCCTATTGAAGTTTCAACAACATAATAGGGCAAAGTTTGCGGCATTCGTCGTTTTTTGGACATACGCACTGGTTCGATAGACAAGTCATAGTGCTCTACGATTTTCGAAATCTCTGACCACAAGGAAGGAATGGGAGAAGTGTGCGGATGGGAAGGGATAAAGTGCTCTTCGCATCTTCGATGATATGTGCATGGTTGTCACGAAATAAAGTGAATTACTACTTATGTCGAAAAATTTGGGGTTGGCTGGACAATATTTTGGGGTGGGCTTATATGGAGAAAATAACCCTACAGGGGTAGCTGGAATCAAGCCCCACATGTTTTTTCCACATGCAACCCTATAGCTTGTGACTCATTGGAATGCTGGTTGAGAAAGGAATCCAGCGTACTGATCATATTTCAGTTTGCGGTACGTTTGGGGGTCGCATAAAATCAAAATATAATTTCGAAGTTTGATATATTTTCAATGTATTTTCATCAAAATTTCGACTTTTAGTGAAAGTGACATAGGACATCTCCACCAGTATGCAATAACAAAACTAAATATCTTTTTCGCGGCTCTATAAAAACACTGGAATACAATAGCAGTTACCTTTGAAGGTATGAAAAACTAAAATTTGACTAGTACGCTAGATTCCTCTCTCTACCAGCTTTTCAATGAAGGGTCGTTACAAGCCACAGGATTACATTTGAAAAAATCATGCAAAAGGCAAAAAATTGCCATCAATTGTTCAACACACATTTTGAGCGATTGATACGTTCAGAATGAATGAATTTCAAGATACCATTTCAATTTTATGCAACCTTTGAATGTATGAAAAACCGAAATTCCACTAGTACGCTAGATTCCACTTTCCACCAGCTTTCCAATGAAGAGTCACAAGCTATAAGGATACTTATGAAAAAATCATGTTGAAGGTGGTTTCAGCTACCCCTGGAGAGATATATTCTTGATACTGCTTGCAAAAGGTAGGTAAATACATTAAATCGTTGACGTATGCCGGAAATTTACAAAAAATATATTCACCTCCCCGCTAACGAATTTATTCCAGTTGAAGTCTCCACACTGTATACAGTGTGCAGCGTCTAACGTCCGTCCCCCCCTACTAATTTCTCAACCATCTGGTATATCGCAAAGAAATTCGTAAGGCTCAGATAGCAGACGAAAACCGAGTGGAAACCTCCTTTTTTATGGAGAAATGACATCTCAAAGTTTTAGAATGGCGGCTGAGCGCCATCTTGAATAACTTTTTCGAACGAAACATCCCGTGTAATATTCTATTTTCGAAATCTTCTTATACATCTCGAGAGTTTCATCTAATACACTCTACTCCTAAATTCGATATTTTTCGAAATATTAGCGTTTGAAAAAAGACATTCGGTAATGTCAAGCCCAACAAACTCTCGAATGTTGCTTTCAATCACGATTGCTTTGAAAAAAGAATCGTTTTCGCGGTGATATCATAAGCAAACTTGATCGAAAACAACATACGAGTTTTTGCCTCAGTAGCACATAATCTTAGCTGCGGGCATTGGCCCTATATTGACCCGATATTTCCGATATTGGGACAATAGCCAGGTAGCACAGGTTAGTGAAATGACATAATAATGACGTATTTTCAAGTCATTATTGGTCTATGACGTCCTCGACTGCAAAGCAATGAACTCAATATAGGTTTATATTGAGTTCATTGCTGCAAAGAGACCTGAAAATGACGTCATGTCATGTTTCATGACGTCATATTGAAGTAAATGACTGGAGGCCATAAATACGTCCTAACAAATTCAACTTTTTGTCATTCATAAACTGAACTTATTGAGCTCTTCTATTATTTTGGTTGCGAAGTTTGCGAAGGAATGTAAATAATATAGGCCTGTTCGTTTGTATTGCTAAACTTGCTGAAGTTGATTTTTTCCCATAGTCCTTTCTGTTCATGGCATGATGTAAGCAGAGGAAGTCATAGAAAAAAATCAAGTTCAGCAGGTATAACAAGGACAAACGTACGGGCCTAATCTAATCTTTCGAGTGTACAAATTTGATACTTAATCAGATATTCATTGATTTACACCTTTGAGTATTACACATGAAAAATATATTTTTGGGAATCTAATCTACATACAGTGGTTTTACTAGATATATGGATGGGTTTGAAATATACGTATGTGGCATACCTACATCAAGTAGTATATAATGAAGACAATATCCTGCCAAGATTCGTGCTACAGTTGTGGTTCAGTTTGAAATGACGTAAATGCTCGCGTAAATGTCCATTTTCGAACATTTATATTTCGAAAAATATTGAATTTAGGAATAGACTGTATGAAACAAAATTGTTGAGGATAATGTGGAGATTTCACTCCCAGCCCCACCTCTTTCCCACGCCCCTGATCAAAAGTTCGGAAAATTTTTGAAATTTCCAATTCTAGCATGAAAAGTAATATATACATGTACACAATTTCGTTATCTCAACACAGAGGGTTCCGGAAGTATTCACAAGAAAACATATGATCTCGGGCCCTCTGTCAGATGACCATAACTCCCCATCAGAGGGCCATTTCTGGGATTATGTTTATATAAACTTTTTCAACTGTTTTTCTTCCTAGAATCTGTGGTTGAAATATTTTTATGTAATTTCAGGACACCCTGTATAGTCCAGAATGAAAAAGAATAAATGTTCTGAAAATGAAAATCCATATATATTAGTCTTGTGAAAAAATCCATTGATCAGAGGTGAAAGAATGAATGGCTTTGAATTGAATTGAGTAAAATAATAACAAACATTCCTTGTGATTCGTCATATCAGATCCATATCTCATTATACATATGATCCATATGAATAAAAATAAGGAAAACGAATGGATTCGGTGATATTAGTAGAGTTGAAATATGGAAATGACTTTCGTTCAATTTGCTCAAATTTATTTTCCATGAAAACAAGAGACTTATTGAGAAATGAGAATCCATTTTTCATAGGCGAATTTCCAAGCATGAGGGATAACTAACAAGTGACAACTAAGGAAATAATGGATCAAGGTTCGAATAACGAGATAAAAGTGTTCAAGTATCGATGGATAGCACTGATTATATTTTGTTTGTGTACTATCGTCAATTTCATGCAATTTCTGCAATTCTCCATCATTTCTAATGTGATAACAAAGTAAGTATATACCTGTAACTATAGGTACTTTATCTCATAAGTTATAATGTTGTATCGATGTTGCTCTTGTCCAAATATACTTCAAGTTATAAAGACATTTTTGTCTCATATACAATAATAACACAGATTATAATCTGAGAGCTGACAACAAATTTCATTTTCGATTAAGAGATATCTCCTACCGTATTGTCCTACCGTAACATTATTAAAAACTGGTCGGGATCTCTGGCAGGTTTTCAGTGGTGGAGGAGGACGTGGTATGACCGTAAAGAGTTGAAAAAAATCAATGCAACGTATGCCGTGTGTTAGCCGATAAGAATTGTTAATCACTGAAAGATATGCCAGACTCATCGAGTGGTGGAATCATACCAGTGACATACCTAGAAGTATGTACCTTGGGTGGATATATACTTTTTTCTACTCACATAACTAAAATGGCATTTAGCGTACGGATATGTACCACGCTAAATGATCGATTAATCACGGATTGTTGAGACATGTTTGGTCTGTCAATTGTATTAACTGTCAACTGTTATTTTCGAATATCAAATTGTGATACATATCGAATAGAGAATTTCAAGGCGAATAAGATAGAATACAGAAATATACAGGGTGCAGTTTAAAAAAAAAGGTGGGGCTACTTCCAATCAAACAGGTGGTTGAAAACAATCGTCATTGGGTTCAAGGAAAGCGCCATCATCGATAATGTAACCCTTGTGAATTTCAAATTTTTATCTCTTCAACTAAAAAATCAACAGGCTGTTACATGTCTCCTGTATCACCCGGTATACTCAATTTCTTTTTATCGAGAATATTTTGGTGAAACATAAGTTTTGTCAGTTTGTTCATGGATCTCTTAAAAGTATCGCAAAATTTGAATACAAAGCACAAATGACAATTGTTTTCTTCAAATTAACAATTATTTGCTGAAGAATCAATCAATATTTAGAGCGGCAATATTCAGGTATAGGACACATTATTATATACTTTAGAAAGATCGATGGTATAATGTGGATCTGGAACCGTTATCGTGAAATAATAAGTACCATTTGAAATAATTCAGTTCTGCCTTTTTAATTTCGTCAAGATTTTTCATCATTGAGTGTTCAATATTTCGAACTCATTTTGTAGGAATAAATGGAACACATCTTGGTTTCTATTTGTGTGAATTTATTTCGTTTCAATGTGCGAATGAAAACCACAATATTTTTTTTATAGGCTTCCACAAAATCAGTTTTTCACGAAAAAAGAAACAGTTGTGTAGCAGTTTTGAAGGTGCATTCGAAAATGCAATCAAAAACATGGTGTCCTATTTGAAGAATCTCATCATCAAGCGATATTTTGACACTCGAACACCCTATAGATATTAAAATAATTTCATGTGACTGAGGGTCTATTGTAAAGACAAACGAAAAAAAAATGGCCCAAGCCTCTTTAAAGTTATCCGGCGGGATAATTCCACCACTCAATGTGTCTGGCATAATGTTCATTGAAGAGTAATCGGCTTCTACCCACCGACTTATCTCTATCTAGACTGTTAGTAGTCATATCGCAGCAACCCGAAAATGTAGAGTCAGTTGCTCGCCTGAAAACGGTTCTGCTCCATACGCAGGAACCCCCAAGCTGTCGTTCATGACTTTGACGTGGAATCGAAATCAACCTAGTATCCATTTTGTTCATAGGCGGCGGCAAGGTAGTTGTCGTCGGCTCAAGTGTTTTGTTTATGTTAGTAGACCGCTTAATAAAGATAATATGAAAATTAAGTGGTGATATTAATTTCCTCGTTTTATTTTCGACAATCCTAGGAAATATAAAGTGCTTCGTTCTTTGGTGTAAGAATCCCATGATAAACTAAAGCAGAGGTGTTTTTTCCATCGGTGAGATTGTCAGAAATTTTTAATTTATAATTATTCTAATTTGCTTTCATCAGTTGAGCAAGTATTTAATTCAAATGAAATCATGCATGTTTTGTATATTAATTCAACTGTGAAGAATTTGAGTTCAGGTGTGAGGTGCCATACCTGTTCATCTATTCTAGATTGGAAGTTTACTGATTCAACATTCAATAATGATTCAAGAATTTCTGAGGTTAAGAGAAGGACCATAGCGACTCAGGAAAGATATGTTCAGACCATTTTATACAAGACAGCTTTCTCATGCTTTCAGCTAGACAAGTCCAGAACATTGAAACCACATGCAAATCATATGCAAATTAGCCCTTTTTTGAAATAAAGTTCTCAAATCTGAGTATTCGTTTCTCAGTAGTTTATGTAACGTTTATCAGCCTTCCATAGTAGAACCCTATACCAACCTTTTCCTTCGATACTCCTATGTTCCTCGGATTCATGAGTGTTACATGACAGATACTTAATGCGCATGAATCAATCTTCTGAGTGGCTCACCTTCTTCCCTATAGAATTAGCGGACTAGATTAGTCCGAAAATCGGTGCTACTACCTGTCAACAACCAAAATTCAGCAAGGTTAGTTTATTTCATTGTAACAGTTTTTCACCTGATGAAGCTACTGTGTTAGCGAAACATGTCGTGTGATTAGGAATTTGTGGAAATCATATCGTTTGTGAATTTTTTTCAAATTGCCTTCATTCTGAACAAAAATGAGGCAACCTGTTTCAGTGGATTATCTAGGCACGCTTGATGTATTTAGATCTTGATTGCAAGATAAATTAAATTGACCAAATAATCTTGCAATCATGCAAATACTGGCTCCAAGAATAATAAATAAAATAAGCCCTAATTGCATTAGCAATAATCTCAATTCACAGGTAATAGCAGGGTAACCCTGCATTTATATAATGTTAATTGCATGATCCATCTGTCAAACAAGACATATATTCAGTAGGGATGTTGATTAATGAATTTTGGTAGGTATATACATGGTGTTATTCAAGTATATGGCCAAAATTCAAGAGTTGATTTTTTGAGTGATTCCAAGTCGAAAAGTTCATTTGAACATGGGTGGAAATACACCGTTTTCAAGATATTGGGTGTCAAAGATTTGAAAAAAATCGCTTCTTCGATAATATCGCATGAATCTCTGCTCCAATTTTGTTGAAATTTTGCAGGGGTATTTGTATTAGAAGGGTGTTGAATGAGCCATTAATAGATTTACGAAAAAACCTATTTAATGAAAAAAATTGACACTGTGTAGCACCCAAACATACTATGATGCTCTTAGATTCCATCCAGAGAAGAGCCATTCTCCTAGTGGGTGATGCCACACTCACTAGAATGTTGACCTCATTAGAACACCGTAGAAAAGACAGCGACCTTTCACTTTTCTATTCCACGGAAATTATCTGCTATCATTCCATCACTAGCGATATCAGTCAGACAAACTCGACAGGCCCAGTCACCACATTCTTTCATTATCAACCTTGAAATATGTCGAACAACAAGGAAAAAAATTAACTGCTCGTCTCAGAATCTCTAGATAAATCGTCCCTTGAAGTTTGATCACATACTTATATAACACCCTGTATGAGAAATTATAACTTTTTTTCAGGTATTATGATATTGATAGTTCCTTAGTTGATCTGACCGGATTGATATTTTTTGTGGTATATATAATACTGTTCCTTCCTGTGAGCTACCTCATTGAAAAATTTGTAAGTATACCTAAGTAAATGTGTATTGAATGCCAAGATGTTCATGATTCAATCTTCTAACATCGCCAAAAATATATTTGAAATACTACAGAAAAATCTATTAGAGTAAATCGACACAATCACTCGTGAAGTGAGTTTAAATTGAATATGGGTGTTTAGATTTGAAGAAAACAATCGAAATAGAAATGAAGTTAGAAACTTTAACTTCAGCTAATTTGTGATTCCTGTAGATCTTATTTGAAGGCCACGAGAAATTTTGAATGGTATTTTCAAATTGCAATGGTTAAGCGTAGCTTTTACTGCAAAAAATAACATTCATAGTCATGTGGGTAAACCTAAAGAAAAAATAAATACTGATGACTATTCCACTCTTGTTCTCGAAAACCAATCAGAATCGACCATTTTCACGGTGTCTTCTGTATTTCAGCGATATTTTTTGTTTACTAAATTTTATCGGATCTACCAATACAGAAGCCGAATTGACCCACATTTTATATGTTACCAACCAACCTCGTTTTAAAGCGATAACATTTTTGACATTTTAAACGTCGATTATGTTGAAAGCCAGAATGATGGATGCAGTGTGCACAGCTCTCACGAAGCGCTCGTTTGGTGTCTTAATCATGAAATAGTCATACGAATACAACTCGTGATACAATTTTTCCTGGAAATATCTGTCGATTGACATACTCCATAGCTTGCTGCTCAAATTTCTCTCATGACATTGTTCCAAAACTTCTCGCCTACGGCTCGAAAGTTTTGATTAACAATATCATTCGCGAAATTATTACGCAACAAGCTGTCGTAACAATTGCCGAATATTTCCGACAAAACAGTATCACTTGCAACTGCAAACACATCGAAGTATTGGTATTGGCACAAGATTCAAAGAAAATATTGCTCAGTTCAGGTATAACCGGTTTGATGAATCAAGAGTTGTCCAACATATTCTTGAGACAAGTCACCCACTTTAGATAATTTTAGACTTCCTAAACATGTGACAAACAATAGATAATTGAACTGATTGGAAAGTATATCAACATCATTAGTAATAGAGATAATTTAATTAATCAAGATTGAGGACTGGATAATTCATTAGAGAATTTGTTTTTGAGAATCTAGTTGGAATTCTCTGCACCTTTTCTCGTCGTTATGCATGTAATAGTATTTCTTCAATGAATTAGTGTTAGTATGTTGCCTATTATGAATTGTTTTTTTCATATAGACAGTACCACAAAGTCACCAAAACGCTACAAACGAAACTGAAAACAACTCATATGACAGGCATGGGCAACCTTTCTGTGTAGCGGGCCAAATAGAAAAATTCAGCAAGGACCACGAGCCAGGACGAGAACAGTCTTAATTTTAATTTTCTTGATTTTCCCACACCCGAAGTTGGCTTGATATCCATGGAAATTTAAACTTCTTCTCTCAGCTCCAAAAATCATTCCAACATCTTGCCCTTATACTGAGCCTGCCATGGACGTATATTTCTCCATATTCCCTATCTAAGCGTACAAGCCCTGCCGGAATTGCAGAAGCTGACGGTGATTTCAACTTTTTGATTTCATGCAAATATACAGATACGAAACAACTATTTATCTCCATTCTCCAGTACGTGCGTGAATTTTAAAGACCCAGCACAGACACTCTCCTGCTGAATAATACAGTGAAATATGAACAGAAAATTGATGTCAGAGTATTTCTCTTTGATAATTCCGATTTTATTTTAGCTATATTCCAGCACTCCCACACTTTTGACTATCATCGCGTGAGCTCCAATATGCTGATCAATCAGGCAAATCAGAAACGAACGAGGAAGAAATGCATGCCTTGTCTCTAGAAAAGCCGATCTCACTGTGTCAAACATAAGCTTGTCAAGAGTAACCATACCAGTGAACCCCAAGAAATAACCGTCGGTGTTTCACAAGGCACAGTACTGGGTCCGATACTGTTCCTAGTCTACATAAATAGTATTGGCAGCATAAACTCCATCGATCATCTCATCTCATATGCAGATGATACCGCAATTGTATTTTCAGGAAAGTCATGGCAAGAAACATACCAAACTGCTGAAATTGGTTTAAAAGATATCCAAATATGGCCGAATTATAATCTACTGAGCCTAAATATTCTCAAAACAAAATTTGTATGTTTCACACTGTTAAGTAACGATCAACCGAATAAGGAAACACTGAAAATTTATAAACTGAACTGCCCACAGAATAATCAATGCACTTGCCCAACCATAGAAAAGGAATCAAAACTAAAATACCATGTCATCAAACGCTCAAGACAACTCACTTATAAACTATACAATCTGAGAGAAATACTTACCCGAAACAATCTTATAATAATCTATAATTCTCTGGCAGAATCGATCATTAGATATGGCATTACTGTATGGGGTGGACTCTTCGACAACAACCTCAAAAGTCTTCAAGCAATGCAAAATACAATTATAAAAATAATTTTTCATAAGAAAAAACGGTTCTTCACTGAACAACTGTACAATAAAACGAAACTTTTCAATGTAAGAAGCTTATTCATCTACAACAGCCTAATATGGGTCTATAAAAACAAACTTACAGATATCCCATATAGACTACAAAACACCAGATCAACAGAAAATCTGAATATGCCTCTCCCTTAAGATAAGAACACTTATCTGCTTCGGTCCCAAATTATATAACTTACTGCCTAGGAACATAAAAGAAAAAAAATCACTTAGTCAATTCAAATATGAAATAAAAAACTACATTACCACAAATTACACTACATTAGGTAATAAAAATATTTTGAAAAAAAACCAAAATAACCCATCCAGCTCTCAACCTCTAACTCCCGACCTACACTTATTATTATAAATATCTTTTCTCAAACCACACATAGTACTACAGCAATCCTGACAATCCTGAAGACAGAGCAAAACAAATGCTTCAAGCATTTAGGTTAGCCTCCAGGATCTTGTGAGGGTTCGATAATAATGTGAACTAGTACAAGACTGTACAATGGTATGATAGATACGAATTTCCATGTCCACTCACACCATGTAGGCACACAATACCATTCCGACAATCCTAGATGCAGAACATAGCAAGTGCCTCAAGCACTTAGGTCATGCGTCTAGGATATGGAAGAAATTAATAATATTTAACTAATATATGGGTATGTATATGTATGTTTGTTATCTGATTTTCACCATGTAATGCAATTTCAATTCGATAAATTTCAATTTCAATTTCAAATCCATTTCGATACTTGGTATTACTATCAGCAATAATATTTCTTGGGAAAATTACGTGAGATCAATTGCTAAAGTGCATCCCAAAAACTTGGTTTTCTGTTTCGGGCCAGGAGCTATTTCACCTCCAGTCAGCTGCTTATGATCTATAAGGCACAGATCCGACCTGTCCTGGAATACTGTTTCCATATTTGGAGTGCAGCACCCAAACATACCCTGAAACTGTTGGATTCTGTCCAAAAAAGGGCGATTCGTCTCGTGGGTGATGCCTCGCTCACAAACTCACTCACTTCTCTGGAACACCATAGAAAAGTTGGTGATCTGGCTCTATTTTATAGATATTTTCATGGACGATGCTCTTCTGAAATATCAATATTTGTTCCTCCCTTGGCAGTCCCAGAAGAAGAACACCAATTCCTACCTTATTTCTCTTGGTTCTCACGATGTTCTCTGAACATTACAGGATATCCCTTTTCGTGGGAACCAGAACATAAAAAAGCTATATCTGTTGTGACACTACTTATCTTTGCCCAATGCAGATTGAAACCAACAAAAACAATTTCTCACATATGTCTTTTACCCTTGTATATAGTAACTTTCATGGCTTGAACCGCGAACACATTTTCTGTAATAGCAAATATTTTGTCGGCTGCACGAATGGAAACTGCTAAATGCGCTGTATCAGAAAGATCGCTACTTTGTCCAATGCAAGGGAAATGCAACACATCTGTTCACAACTTCGCCATGAGTGACTCTTATATTTCCTGTGATATCTTTCACAAATTCGCCTTCTGATAATGGCAGAATGTTTCGCCACTTTCTTACTAATAATATAACTAAACTGCTGTAACGTCTGATGTCAATAGCGGGCCTTGCTAATAAAAAAAGCAAAATTCATTGGTGGGCCGGACAATTTTCGGTCGGGGGTTTCAGGTTGCCCATGCCTGCCTTACGAGACGGATTTCTCCAGTGGTATGGCTACTCCCTTGCTTTCTTGTCCATTCTTAACATTAGAATCAACATTCCTGCATGATGATGTCTATTTTTTTTTTAGAATTTGAAGGTAACAGCCGTCGTCAGCACAGGCTTCACATTAGCTGGCACTGTAGTGAAACTGTTCTGTTCTGATCCCTCCAGGTTTTATATAGTGCTGATCGGCCAAGGACTATGCGCCGTAGGACAGGTATACCTGCTGAGCATTCCTTCGAAATTTGCTTCAGTATGGTTCGGAGCCGATCAAGTATCCACTGCTTGTGCCATAGCAGTTCTTGGCACACAATTAGGTAATTATAACAGACTGATACACAGGTTGTTGCGAAATTGAATGTGAACATTACAGAGTCGCATTCATTCGACAAACAAAATTACGAAGGCTTTGAATTATGCTGCATTCGCTCAGAATGGTGGTGCATTTCCGGGTTTTATATTTTCAATTATATTTATTCAATGCATTATCACTAATCTATTTCATCTGAAATCGGTAAAAAAACTAGCTGACATTATAAAGAATGATACCATTGTAGAACCAAATATCCTTACTCATCAGTTGAACTCTTTCACCCTAACTGAAACAAATGAAAGTGGAATTTCGAAAACTATTCATGCCCTAGACGACAATAAAGCTCCAGGCATTGATGGTATCACGACGAAAGTTCTCGAAACTATGTCGCATAATATGATCTCCAAACCATTGGCTCATTTAATGAATCGTTGTTTTCAAACAGGAATTTTCCCAGAAGCATTCAAGTCATCAGTGGTCAAATCACTTTTGGGCAATTATAGACCTATTTTCCTATTTTATCAACTCTAGCAAATATCACAGGAAAAATAATATTCACATCGCGGTCCTATACACACGTGACATCTATCGGATTTCGTGAATAATTGATTTGACAACAGCAAATGACAGTTGTTGTCAACTCACTCTCCGCGCAGACCAGGGTTGCCATAGTTCGATTGTTATTCCATCAGTAAATACCTTGTCATAAATACAGAAGATTTCAATAGATCTGTTCAAGATCCATTTCATATCTTGAAAATAGGACAATCAATACAAAATCAACCAACTCTGTGTCAAATAAACTATTAATCAATAAGGGTGTCCCACAGGGCTCTGTTTCAGGACCTATACTATATTCACTTTATGTTCAAAATATCAGTGAAATTGGTCTCACGAGTAAATATACCATGTATGCAGATGATACAGTAGGCCAGAATCCTTCAAATTTAGAAAATATGATAAATGAAGACTTGAATATATTTGAAAAATGGCTCCACTCTAATCTTTTATCGATAAATACTAACAAAACAGAATATATGATTTTTCACCAAAAAAATAAACAAAAAATTTACCTCAACCTTAAAATGAAAAATGAACTCTTGAATCAAACTGACCAGATAAAATATCTTGGAATTTGGTTTGATGACAAGTTGAAGTGGGACAAACATATTGATGTTCTGACAAAAAAAATATCTCCACCTATTGGTGCATTGAGAAGATGTCCCAAACTTGAATTAAAATTGCAAACATGATTCTCTACTCTCATATACTGAGTCGTATCAACTATTTGATAAATGTTTGGGGAACTTGTTCAAAAAACAATTTCAATAAAATATCAACATTATATAGAAAATCGTTAAAAGTATTATATCGTCTCCCATTTGATACACCAACCAATCAATTGTTTGAAATAACAAATACGTATTCTTTAGATGAAATATATAGAATTGAAACTCTTAAAATATCATATAATATCATAAATAAAAAATTGAAGTCGAATTTTATGTTGATACGGAATTCTGAAATTCATAATCATATGAAACAAGACAATCTAACTTGTTTCATCTTCGGACAAAAAAGATTCACTCATTCAGCTCTTCAGGAAAAATTTGAAAATGCAATAATATACAGGGTGCTCCATTTAAAAACACCCATCATCAGCTGATATCTTGGACTTTGAACATCCTATAGATATGAAAATAATTTTAGGTGATAGCTCTCATAAAATCCTATAACTGTTGTATTCGAATATTTTTTATATATGAAGGTTTGGCTAATATCGAAGGGGAACACACTATTGACTCATCCTGTATATCAAACATTTTTCAAAACAAGATATCACTGACTATCGATAAAATTACTCTTTTAGGTATTCAATATCGAACTTTTCGAACACAGTAACATTCTAGGGCATACTTATACTCAAAATTTGTTTTATAAAAATGGGGAAATTGAATTCAGAAAAAAATCTAGAGAAATGAATACTTACTCTGATTTTCGGATTCCAGGTGCTGCGATTGGATCTATTTTACCTCCATTCCTTGTTGAACATGATCAAGATTCAGAAAGCATTGGAGATGCAATTCACCAAATGGCTATTTATAATGTTATATTAGCATGTGTAGTCTTCATCGTGGTGGTTGTATGTGAGTAGAATCTGTTATTTCAAATTATTGTTTCTTTATAGTGTGGTCCATATTCTTGTACTTCTGTACATCAATCTAGTGAGGTGATACAGGCTCGCAAAATGAGAGGACTTTGCTCGGTGGACATGTCTTCACAAAATGCATCATAACATGAATTTCCTTTTGTCAATTTGTTTTCAGGATACCATGACTTGTTTAATCATGTTTGAACCATTCGGTGCTTTTAAGAAAAATCGAGGAGTTTGGACAATATTTATTATTGTCATTTTATTACCAGACTACTATGAATCATTTAATGATTGCAAAATCATTTTTAATTCCTTAAATTAAATTGTGCACTAGAGGAACATAAGTACCAATAGGGTTTTTGTCCTTTTCAGTTTTCAAAGCTAAACCCCAACTTCCGCCGAGTCAGTCACAGCTACAACTCTTGACGTGTTCTGAAGATCAATCATCTTTCTTTTCCAATTGCAAAACCCTGTTTAAAAACAGAGATTTCTTGTTGGTCTTGCAAATATTCGGAATATTCAATGGTCTATGGAACAGTTTTGGAATACTCGTGAATAATATTTACATAAACTATTTTCCTGTAAGTATTAGAAAATTTATATGCTACGGATATTTATGGTGACTATACTTAATAATAATTGATTGTATTGGTGCCTTGCAAGGCCATGATTCTTAAGATAGGCGATTTGAGAGTTTGAAAATGTTAATCCAGCTACCAACGATGTTGACCTCTTTACGGAACTGAATCGAAAGTAGTCTTCTGTTCCCAAATTTAAGGAAACAGCGCTGTCAATTTACGCCCAAGGGAGAAACAAAATATTATTTCCTTTGAAAAGTAAAATATATTGGCTTCAGCGTGCTTCCCTTGCGTCGATATACAATACATATAAGATTCGTGCGATAGTAGCACACATAATCAATGTTTTCATCACTTTCATAAAAGAAATAACATTCATATTTCAAACGGGCCGAATGTTTGTTCAAATACCCATGTCTCATTATATTATATTCATATTATACCTTTGTAACGCCTATTGATTTGGGTCAAGAGATATACCGCCTGAAACAGGAAAGGCGCATTAAAAAAATTCAGTTCTGAAATTTTTTTTTTTCTCATCTTTAATGGAAGCACTCGTATCTTATGTCGTGACTGTATCTTTGAAATCTATCTTTCTTCTGCATATACATTTTCAGATCCCTACCTGAATAAATACGTATGTGGATGCCTTCATCATGAAAAGTGAGACCAAATTTGATTTTTCAGAACGTGTAAAATATTTTGTCAATAGTAGACTATTATAAGAAAACTATTGTAAAAATGTTAAGGTCATAATATAAGTCCAACCCTATTCTGTATCTGTATCTTCACTGTATTAAGTAAAGAAAGTTTAGCTTATACCATTGAGTAGTGTAAATAATCAAGGCTTATACATACAAAATTTCACCGAATTTCATCATTCAGATAATGAAAAATTTTCGAGAGAGTCAGTTGATTCCCTCTTTCCAAGGGTGATTATTATGAAGGAGATTTTCCGGAAAACTCAAATGAAGAAATACCATTATTTTGTATGGAAGATTGCCATATTTTCTGTAACAACCTATATAGAGCAAAGCTGCACTTTAGATATCAACTATATCTGAGTCATCAGTCATCTAACAATATTTTGCTTCTAGGAAGGACAAACTGATATAGGAATTATAACACTATTGGCAATAATAGCAGGAGGCTGCATAGGCAGCGTTGTTTTTGGATTTGTTTTGGACCAAACACATGAATTCAAGTAAGTTTCCATGGGCGCCGCTACTTGAGAGTAAGGGGGGTACTACAAATATATATTCAAGGCGAAGCCAGAGCAGTCGTGAGTAGATTGTCAAGGGGTCAAGCACCCATAAGCAACGCGCACGGTAAAGACTATTATAGGAAGCTATATGAAGAGTTGGAAAGCGACCCCATCATGGGGATGCCAACGGATGGCATAATTCCAAAATATAGCTATGAAAAAACTTTTAAAATGAGTATAATAGACAGAGATGCATGGAAGGAAGGACCTCCTATCAATGCAGACATTGCTGTCTATACGGACGGCTTCAAAACTGAGGAAGGATCAGGAGCTGGTATTTATGGGGCCAAGCCAAAGAGAAGAATCTCACTGAGCTTAGGCAAATACGCGACGGTGTTTCAGGCAGAAATTATTGCAATTCATCATTGCGTGAAAGAATTGATAAGGCAAGAGTTTAAAGGCAAAACCATTGCAATCCATTCAGATAGCCAGGCGGCAATCAAAGCAGTCAACTCTATGCAAGTTAACTCAAAACTAGTATGGGGCTGCTTAGAAACCCTAAATGCACTGGGCAGTCAGAACAGATTGACTCTAGCATGGGTACCAGCACATACAGGGTACGAGGGCAATGAAGAGGCAGACTCACTTGCCCGAGCAGGAGCAAACAAAGCTCTGAATGGCCGAGAACCCTTCTGTGGTATTGCGAAAGCTATACAAAAGACTAGTTTGAAATCATGGATGCAAACCAAATCTCAAGAATGGTGGAACAACTCGCCAGGAATGAGACAGGCAAAAGAGTTTATTAAAAAACCATCGCCAAAATTCACAGAATATCTACTAAGCCAGAAACGAAGTTCAACTAGAATACTAGTGGGACTTATCACAGAGCATTGTAGGCTCAACAAACACATGAGTACGATAGGTCTGACTGAAGAACTGCTGTGCAGGTTCTGTCAGGAGCCGAGAGATACACAGGAGATCTGAAAGCTAGCCTATGGAGTCTCATAGAGAAGGCGGGTCTAGCAGAAGAACTCTAATCTATTTTGAGGGCAGACACAATAAATCTGAAGGGGTCGCAGTGTGGAGGCAGATAGCCCGAAGGCCCCATTCCAAATCTAAGGGGGGTGCGACCTGCCCCCCCCCCTTGAATTTAGCCTTTTCAGTGTAAACACGATATTTTGGTGAAAATTTCGGTCTTTCTAGGCAAATCTCTGAATACTGAAACTTTTCAATGGCATATTGTTAGATAAGTTGAGTTTATTTGAATTTTAACTGATTTACCAAAGTGTTTCAGTTGATACATTTTATACCTCAATAGAATATGTATTCCAAAAGTTCATCGATTTGAGTATTCGAGCCATGTTTCTTTTTCATTTTTGAAACATTTTTGTTTCCATGTAGGTGTTTTGTTTGAAAAATTAAATATACTTTTTTCATTCGTTATTATACTACTTATCAGCTGACCTAATTAGCTTACTTCAATTCCTTTTCGTATTATTTTTAAATCACACTTGTAGTGGAAATTAGTGGAAAAGATCCTAATTTCAATGTAATGCAATGCTTTCAATTGAAAAAAAACGCTCCCCCTCCTGATTTTTTTTCTGGCGGCGCCCATATAAATTACCGAAAGAATCAACAGAATAAGCTGCAGCATATTTGTTAATTTCTATTTTTTTTTTACAGGAAAACAAGTATTGCAGTCCTACTTTCATCCTCTATAAGTTTCATCATAATGATTTTCACATTATCTATGAAATATAGAATTGCCACATATTTCACCATACCATTATTCGGGTGAGTAACTATAGAATGTTTAAGAATGAATAAGAAAAATCATGGAATTTAAATTTTTGTTGAAGAATCACGAATTCAAGAAACATCAAAAATTAGTTTCCACTCAAAACTGATATTTATGTAATTATGTATCAAGGGCGTAAAGTAGGGTTTTATGGATCGCAGCATGTAAATAAGAGCCCTCGCGATTGCTCGGGCTATTTACACGGCTAGGTCCATGAAAGCACACAACATTTCATGCATTTATTTCCTGTCAATATGGAATGTGTTAATGATTTCGACTTTATTTGGCCAATTTAGATATGTATGCCACTGGCGAAGAAATATCGAATGGTATAGTCTACTAGAAATTACTTGAAAAACAGTGAAATCACTTTACTGTCCGATCACCTACTTTACCACCCGCCAGACTACTTTACCGCCCGCTGTACTCTTCCATCGCCCTACGGCGTTGAAGTGCTATTTAACGCCAGCGAATCAGGGTGATAAAAGTGACACTTTACGCCCAGTCGTGCAAAAAAGCTTATAATAGTTATTTATGTATCAAGGGCGTAAAGTAGGCGTTTATGGCCTGTGGCGTGAATAATGGCCCGATGGCGCTAGCCGAGGGCCATTACACGCTCAAGGCCATAAACGCATTTCACGCACGTGATACATACATAGTGGTTTATTTTCTGACTCAAAAGTAATGACTATAGATTTCGATAAACTAATATTCCCCCGAATTTGATTTGTTGCGGATAAATTCAGTAATCAAGAGAAGCGTAATGTTTATGGATGATTTACATATGAGAATTATCGTACGAATATTGCAATTATCGTAATAGTAAAACTCTTTGATCTCTAGAAAAGATTCATTTTTCAGAATTTCACAATATGCATACCCAGTATATATACCTAACTAATTTTGACGTTGTCAATCAAGCTGATGGTTGTTGTCTATATCAATACATCCAATAAACGAGCTGAATTGTCATTCTTTGACTGAAAAGTAAAAATTAGTGATGATAATAATAGCGATAGATATGGAATCGGATAAAGAAGAGGTTTATGATATACCGCTGGATATATCAGAATCTAGGAACATGATCATAGGTTTTTCATGAATTGATATGTGGATATAAGGTAACTGAGAACAGCGGGCGGTAAAGTGCACTTTACGGCCCGCTAGTGCATAATAGTTATTTATTATACAAGGGAAAAAAGTAGTAGATTTTAGCTCCAGGTTGTGTTGTCTCCCGACGCGTAGCGGAGGGAGACAAAAAACCGTGAGCTAAAATCTAATATTTTTCCCGTGTATAATACACTATTTTTTTCTGTGACAGAAGGAAGGACGAATCAATATTGAGAAGATATTACATTATTTCGAAATGTGAAAATTATCGACGTGAAATTTCAAGTTTTCAACAGTAGGGACACCTGCGTTTTATAGACATCTTCATCATTCTTTTGAAGTAATCAAATATCTGATGTCACTTCTGTCAGTTCAATTTTGTGATTTGATTTTGAAAAATTGCGAATTCAGTAGTTGTTTAGTAATATACGAAACCGCGAAGTCGAATGGAAGATAAAAGGACTTGCAGTTCTTTCTCGGAGACGGTATTATTGACTCATTTTTCGGAACTATAGCACAACAAAAGCCATTAACAGAGTATATATATGTGATATATATCCGGGAAAGAAGTACTCACTTTTTTCCCACGGGAAAAAAGTAATTTATGAAAAGTGACATTTTATAACCTGCCAACAGAGATGAAATGCCAAACTTTTTTCCCGTCACAGAAAAAAAGCTATTTATAGGTACGTACAGTCGTATTCAATAAAAAAGCGTACAAGTATTAAACATAGAAGATTTCTGCATCCTAGTTCTAGTTGTGTGAAACTGGCTCAGCCAATGCTTTGTGTTTTTGAGAACCTATTATTACTGTCAATATTTGGTAAACGATAGCCCGTTTCTATGCAAATAGGATGATGTTAATTTCTCTCTCAACTATACTTGTACGCTTTTTTTTTAATACGACTGTACCTAGTACCTACTCGAAGGACAATAGGTAATAATCAGTAAGTCACTGATTATTATATCTCTATGTAACAATTACCTTTTGGCAGTAAAATACCTATTCACGACTTAAAAAGAAGTAAATAATAGTAGGTTCTAGAGCTCGCAGTGGAAAAAGGTGCCAACTACATTATTTGATAGAATATATGCTTCGATTCAGGAGTATGGCTTGTTTATATATACAGGGAGATATTGAAATAACTACAAATATTTCAAACCCTATAAGAAAGTTCGGCGTATACTATCGAATGGCACCAATTAAAGAAATATAGGGATACAAACTCGGATAAAAATAAAATTTGCCATCCAAAGTTCTACTATTGACGTTACCTCTCTATGAATGTCCGTGCAGAAAGCACATTCACGAAGAGTTCAACCATTGCTTGATTTTTTTTTCCTATTTTTATTCAATTTTCAAGATTGTAACCCTGTCCGTCTTCAAATACCTTGATATATATTGAAAAACATATTGTTAGTCTCAATCGTAATGACAATAAAAAAAATACCTATATAAGGCTAGAATGTAAAAGTGTAACGATAAGCTTATAGAAATCGATACACAATAGATATTCAAGATTGAAATTTAAATATACGTGAAAATATAACAGGTCTGTAATGAACAATTATGCACTGTTATTGCCCCTTGGAAACAAGAAGCGTTATTTTGGCAACATTTCCAGGAGCTGAAATCTCAGATATACATTCAAGACAGTGTAATGGCAAATGAGATTCGCTTATATGGATACAAATTGTTTTATGCATGGTTATCTTATTTGATGGAATGGTCCATAATAGAAACTCAGAACAGGAAAATCTGCCAAGAAACGGGCTTTTTCTTTCCTGTGAACTGCAAGTTTCGTGAATTTAAAATATTTGTTTGAAACAATTGAACTTTATCCGAATGAATCATCTGAGTAAAGCGATGATCTTGAATTGAATGAATTCTATCAGGATGAGAATGTGTTTTCTCTATACAAGAACTAGTACAAACTTTGGGAAGTGAACAGATACAAATTAGGAATTCTTTATTTCTATATGTGTGTGCCTTACATTTATGGATTATCACATTATTTTTTGTTCCAGATTCTTCATTGCTAGTAGTTTGGTGCTGGGCTTTGAATACGCTCTGGAAGTGACTTACCCAATTCCAGAATCAACGAGCTGTTCAGTATTAAACGCAACTATTTTCGTGTTCTCGATAATCGCAACTTTGGCAATAGAAGGTCTAATAGATGCTATTGGATATTTATATACTTTCGTGATCATTTTGGTAGTATTCATATTAAGCACTATCAATTTATATTTCATTTCGCCTAATCTACGAAGAAGAAATGCGAATCTCAATAGCCAGGAAATGCATCCTTCTGATGACATTATCTAGGTAATAACGACCAGTGACGCGTAGATAGAAAAACAAATAATGTACTGACAATTCGAAGGGAGTACCATACAGTGTGTTCCAAAATCCCAGTAACAATGACATTTATTGCAACTACAGCAACGTTTGTATGGATACCATCAAAGAAGTCTGGTGAGGCGGAAATATAAATGGAGCCAGATCACAATATCTAACTAAATAACTAAAAATAGAAGAGTGTCGCTCTGTTCATTATTATGGAAGACAGAAGCATTTGCAGTATACCATCAATCTAGTCTAGTAGTGTTGGAGTCCCCGGGTACCATATCATGTGCTCTAAAATGTTCTAAATCTATTACCTACATGAGTATTATAAAAATATGTTGACAAGTAATGTAAATTTTGGATAAAAAAATATATATTTTTCAATTGCACCTTTCAATGGATTTCATTATTTGGACTCAGGTATTTCTCATTTCATTCATATTTTTTGTGTTCATTCATATTGTTCAATTATATGCTAGCAGTATTGTTTATACAGGGTGTTTCGAAATTCGACCACGCTTGACAGGTGATGGCCCTCGTGATTTCATAATCACTGAGATAGGGACATACGGTCTTCAAGTGTTCAGTTCTCGAGATACAGGGCGTTGAAGTTAAGAAATTAAAATAGTTGTTTCGCAATATTTTTGTCTCCCTCCGCTACGCTTCGGGAGACAACACAACCTGGAGCTAAAATCTACTACTTTTTTCCCTTGTATAATAAATAACTATTGTTTCACTAAGCATAGCACCTACCTTCCTACATAACACCTTCAGACCCTCATAATTATTCGATTGTAATTGTCATATTTGAAGGACCTAACGGATTAGAAACCTAGTATCTTTCACGTTGAAGCGCAAGCGGTGTCCAACCAGGTAAATCCAAGCTTGATTAATTTGGATAAAGTCGAAAGTTTCACAGTTCTTAGTAACGAGACCGTTTTCTCTCTTACGATACCTGCAGGATACTACCTTCCGGGCTTTCCCTCTTTCTTAATCACCTCAATAAGTATTCCAGACCAATAGGACAGAAAAAAGGAAATACATACAGGTTCACACAGATTCACGAGCCACTGTACACTGTGTCCCATTTTGGTTGAGACTGCACTGTATCTCAGCTGTTATTGAAGATAGGGACATGCGGTTTTCGCGACCCTGTATCAATTTTTTGTAAAACTTTCAAAGTCACAAACAGAAATATGCCAACTACTTTTGTTCCTAAAATATAGGGCGAAAACGGAAATGTTCACCTTTGGAGATGTTAATATTTCTCAGGCCCTGTATAAGATGGGAAAAAAAATGAGACCTGCTTATAATATTTTTTTTTTACAGTCAGTGGCGTATTCTGAATTTTTTATAAAAAAACCGCATGTCTATCTTCAATAATAGCTGAGATACAGTTTAGTCTCAACCAAAATGGGACACAGTGTACATACTTATGGTGTAGGAAGGACACACCTGCATAGACTTTGTAAAAAGATAAATCATGAAAATCATCCATATCTCAAAGTGGTCCAATGTAATTTCAAAAGAAAAAGAAGTAACACAAAGTCGGCCGATCACGCTTTATATAAAACATTCATTAAAAAGTTACCGGTTTCGGCACTACGGCCTTCATCAGACAATGGTGCCAAACAATATGGGACTCAACATGTAGTGCCGTAGTGCCGAAGCCGGTAACTTTTTAATGAATGTTTTATATAAAGTGTGGTCGACCGACTTTGTGTTACTTCTCTTTCTTTTTCTTTTGTTTGTAAAAAGATGTGGATAAGCGGAGGGGCGGTATTCGCCCCACTCACATGGAACCTAACCTAAACTAACCTAGGACATACCTCCACCATGATTAAATTAATATTTGAATTGGTTGATTAGTAATTATTACCAAGATACAGGGTCATATTACTTTCTTAGCCATAATTGATTCACCTTGTATCTTTCCAATCGTTCGATCAATTTTGCTGAAATTTCATTCACTTAGTCTACTTATCGGAGTTAATGTTTAGAAATAACAAATGTAGCCGATTTCCAGGCCCAAACTTGGAGAATTTCAAACTAAAATCCCTTACAAAACGGGCACCCTCCACATTGGAATTTTCGATCTCTGCTTACATGTATTAATGAACAGAAAAATGTGAATAACTCCTTTGGCACATTCAAAGTACCTTTAAAGTATAACAATACGTATCGAGAAATATGCCATTTATTTCATTCTACTTGAAACTGAAAAAAAATGGAAGAATAGATTCATTTGAGGATTTTTTCTGATTTTCAATACGGTTAAAAAAACCTTCCGTTTTCAATGAAATCTCTGTAGACCACTTGTTTCGAATGTTCCCACAAAAAATTATCGAGAGAGTTAAAATCTGGGTACCTAGCTGGCCAAGGAAGTGACCCTTCCCACCCGATCCAACGATTTGGAAATTGATTATCTAGGCGTTCCCTGAGATCAACACCAGAATGAAGCGGAGCACCATGTTGGAAATGTATTCCTCATAAAGGCAACATATTTTGGAGACAATTCGAATGAACAACGCTCATTAATCTTGGAAATGCATAAGGTCCAATTAATTAATTTTTCATCAATTCACACATTGATTAAAAATTTATGTTGGAAATAGGCTTGTTTTACTTCGTGTGAATTTTCATTTGTCCACACATGAGAATTTCTTGAATCAAAGATATCGTCTGTGAATAATGCCCGAAAAATCGTATTGTGGCTTGTAATCCCATTGGGAGAATGCAAGCCAAGGTATTTGGTCACATTCTTCCAACTGTTGTATGTACCTGTTGGATAAAGCTGCTGAGCCTGATTCAATTCAGAATTCATGAAAGTGAGTACGAAAATAAAGAGACGTTGATGAAATGAATTTTGAAAATTTCATATCTTCATTGACACTGTGTGATTTGACGAAGGCTTTTGACTGCGTATCGCACACTCTGCTCATTGAAAAATTAGAATACTACGGTATAAGGGGCATTGCCTTACAGCTGCTTCGTTCGTACCTCCACAACAGGATTCAGTGTGTGGAACTGAATGATGTTAAGTCTGATTACAAACTAATCGAACATGGGGTACCACAAGGCTCGGTCCTTGGACCATTTTTATTCATTGTTTACATCAACGACTTGTGTCAGTTTATTGCGCCTACCGAATGTGTCCTATTTGCCGATGATACAACTCTTGTATGCTCAGGAAAATCATATACGGACCTTATTGCATCTGCATCAACAGAACTAATTTCAGCCAAAATCTGGTTCAATCAGAATAAACTCAAGCTTAATGAAAACAAAACTCAGAATTTATTGATTTCCTCGAATTCAAACTTTCAAGAGGGAAAAAGTGTGAAATTCCTAGGCCTCACCATAGACGACAGACTGAGTTGGTTCAATCATGTTGATCATGTAGTACGAAAGTTATCCAGCGCTCTGTTTGTACTAAGACAATTGAAATGTATAACCAATCTTGGCATCTTAAGAATTTCATATTTTTCATTATTTCATTCTGTACTGTCATACGGTATTTTACTCTGGGGCAATTCAACAAATGCTATAGCAGTTTTCAGATGTCAGAAGAAAGCTATACGAATACTGGCAAACTTAGGCTATAGAGATCACTGTCATCAACATTTCATTAAGCTTGGTATCATGCCAATGCCTACCTTATACATATTCACAGTTTTGCTAGAAATACACCAAAATGTGAGTAAATTTGGTAAACAGTCTGACTTCCATAGTCATAATACAAGATCGGCTAATTTATTGAGAACCCCACGACACAGATTAGCTGTTAGCTGCAGAAACTCTTTAAATTTCAAGATTTATAATATTCTGCACAGCTCCGTCAAAATGTTGGAATTCAAAAAAATTCAAATCTGTCATCAAACAGTTCCTTTTGAGCCATTGTTTTTATAATATTGATACCTATATGGAGGCAGCAAGTTCACTGAAGCTTTAACCTGTCATTTATCAGTCCCTTCAACAGGACATTGTTATTTTTATGTTTTGTTCTTATTTATTTTTATCTTATTTTTTGTTTTATATATTTTATTCAGATCATTTGATGTTCAATCTTTAACATACCTATAATGTATTTTTAATCATGTATTCTTGTATTTTAATTAATCTATTTCTGCACTTTAGTGATTGAGGGTGAAGATTATCTTAATTTTTTAGCACTATGGCTATTGTAATTATGACTTGCCGTACATGTAATTTACATAACATGGTCAAATAAACTACTCTACTCTACTCTATCATTTTGTTTTTCTGAATATTCAAACTATTTCAAAGAATTTAATAAATGCTATGTTTATTCTCGGGAAGCAATATTTTATTTTGAAGGTACTTTAAATGTGCCGGATGGGCTATTCACATTTTTTTCTTCATTAATCCAAGTAGTTTTAGGAATAATAAGCAGAGATTTCAATGTAAAGAGTGTCATTTTTCCAAGAGGTCATAGATTAGAATTCTCCAAGTCCGGACCTGGAATTTGGATACATTTGGTATTTGAGAAAGCCAACTTCGATTAGTAGATTAATGGTCAGTTCATAGAATCTCATTTAAATTTAATTTATATTTAATTTAATTTAACAGCTCTATTTCCCATAAGAAATAGACTAAATTAAATATAAGTTAAATGAGATTCTCTGAATGCATCTAGTGAAAGAAATGCTTGAACTCACAAGATAAGTTAAAATTAAATATAAATTAAATAAAAATAATTTCTATGAACTGACCATCAGTGTATAAAATTTCAGGAAAATTGATCAATATTTTGGAAATATACAAGGTTAATCAAGTATGGCTAAAAATGTGAGAAGAATCTTGGTAATAACGTCGAATTGACCAATTCGAATATTCATTTCCCTAGGGCAGAGATATATGTCCCATCTATACCATAAATACTTATGCAGAGTAGCTTGTGAATCATCCTGTATTACAAAAACGTCATGTGAACACTCTTCAGAGAATATTGTGTGCAT